AGTTCAAGCAATATTGTCATCCACTTTTTCTCTTGGGTTAATTATGGAATCACCATCAGGACAAATCCTTTGGTGCTTGAAAATGGGCAGGATGGGGAATTCTGTTTCCCACTGGAGATATCTAGCCTGTTGTTTTAATATGTAGACTTCCCTAGATTCCTGCTTTTTGGCCTCCAACATGCCTATATACTAAGGTTTTCTCCCAGATGTAACCATATTAGATATAGCCCACTGTTAGGAAACACTGGGAAGCATTATGAAATGGTCTTAAGGGTGATACACAAAGCAGGAGACTTCAGTTTCATATACTTAACAGGCATATCTGCAGATCAGACTAAGATACATCTATTCAGCAGGTTTCCTGAGGCAGCTTGCCAGCAGTTTCCAGAAACCACAAACTGAAATATGGTATGATAGTCATCCCCGTGTCTACAGCAATGACAGTTACTGTTTGTCTTCCTTTCTTTGCTAGGTTTTCTTTTTGACAATAGTGAACACCGCTTGTTGCATATGAGTGTTCTGAACCCCAACACGTCCAAAGAAAGTTTGGACTGGGGAGGAAGTGATAGCACAGTGGTGAAGCAGGCACAGGCATCCAGCAGCTCCCAGTTTCACACACTGTCATCTTTGCTTAAACTGCATATTAGGTAATAGGAATGTGATTTTTTTCCCTGAGTCATCAGTCTTGGAGAGCTGCTGTTGAAGGAAAAGACAGTCCAGGACTTAGCAACCTCACGGAGGATAGCTTCACAGATTTCTATGTAGGTCAACGATATGACACAGCAAAGACTACCCATTTTTTTTAAAGTTGCTCTCTTTAACAATCCAATCCTATGTGCGTGTTTACTCCAAAGGAAATCCCACCCATATTTATGGAGCTTATTCACACATATATCTGCATGGGAACACCCTGACCCAACTCTTTGGAATGGGATAACTATCAAAATTAAAACCAACAATTGTTTCTGTCCCAGACCAAGTTGATACCACTGGATCTACATCTGTGTACATTCTCAGACTGAATGCTCATTTATTTATTTATTTAATTAATTAATTAAATAATTAAATAATTAATTAAATTTTTCAACCACCCATCTCCCCCCAATGGGGGAACTCTGGGCGACTCACAACAAACATTAAAAACATAAATATATATAAATACATAAAACATCAGTTAATAGCTTATACCTATGAAACAAGGTTGTATCCAACTTGTGGATACCTGTAACTCACTTAAAAGAATCACCGTCTACCTGGCTCCCAGAGATGATGTGGGAAAGTTTTAATGGTTAAATTGGACAGTGGTTTCCAATTGGTAATGCAATTTATGATGCATCCTCCATACTTCCAGGCATTTTACATTACCTATTTGATTAAAGCACCATATCAAATTCACTCTGTGTTATACATGTATGTGATCAACTTTTCAAATATTTATTGAATGAGTATTATTTACAAAGATGGCTTCTGGAAATGTTGGGGTTTACCTTATTCAGTTGAAACTCTTCCATAATTTCATTCAGAACTTCTACATACCTTTTACTTAAACCTGTGTGGTGCAGAAGTTAAGGCATCAGCTTGGCACCATGGAGACCCTGTATTCTGGAAGCTTACCAGGTGAGCCAATAACCTCTCTCAGCTGGACTTACCTCACTGGAAAAACAGGAGGAAGGAGTGCCGTGTACACCCTCTTGAGCTCCTGAATAAAAAGTGGGATATACATCTAACAGAATAATAGTTAGCCTCTCTTGTCTATTTGCAGTATGACAGGTCCTTTTGCAATATATTTTTTCCACACTTTCCTAAGTAGGAAAGTTTGTACCTTTTCTAGGCAAACACATTAAACTCAGACAAAAAACTACAAATGGGAATGTTACAAGAAATGTTTTGTAATTATTACTTATTATGAACTGTGATTTTACCAATAGAGGCA